TTTTAATAATGTTAAAATTTTATTTCAATTAATAATTCAAATAATTTTATTATTGTATAGGTAAACAATTAGAAATTTCCCTTTTTTGATTAATTCTGTTAAATAAAAAATTCTGATAATGAGATATTTATAATTTTTCAAACTATAGGAGACAATTTATATTTTAAGCAAATCTTAGAAAGTGTATTTATAATTTACCTTTTTATTTTTTTATTTTAGCTGATAAGAATTGACTCATTTCAATGCGCCCGCGACACCCAAATTGCCTGTCTTTGAATCTAGGGATGGACACATGATTTTAGCTTTGAGGGGCAACTGTATATACATATATGTATAATATATATAAAAAAAGAAGTTATAATGAAGCGCGAAATGTAATATCAATTTTTATTAATACAAACTGTATAAAATGTCACAAAGCTATGTTATTAAATATATTTATTCATTGTATATAATTACAAAAATATGATCAATAGGATATCTGATCAGATAACTTGCTATAAAATCATTCTATATCATGTTTTTACCAATAATTGGCACAATTTAGAATTATTGACAACCTTTAAAATTTGGAATGCTTAATTCAATTCCTTAGTTTTGCAATTGAAATTTATTTATAAGTTCTCAAATATTTTCAATTTTGAAAGACTTATAACTATTGTGGATCATAAACAAAACTAAGAAACTAACTCCATCACATTCTCCCTAGTTCAATTGTTAAAAGATTAACTCGTTTGAGAACTGTCTGTTTTAGCTCAAAAACCAAAAAATTATTAAAAAAATCAAAATGTTTATAACTTATACAAAAAAGTCAAAAATTTTATTTTCTCTCTATTTTTTGTACATCTTTATGTAAAAAATTAAAAAGTCATTCTAAACATGCTAGTTTTTTTTACCTCATATTTTAGCTAAAAAGTCACTAAAAAAGCATATTCTCAAACGAGGCCTAAATATGGAAAAGAGAGAATCAAAACAAGAAAACAAGAAAAAGGTAAAGAAAGGAAACAAGGAAAATTTGAAATAAATATGGAAAAGATGAAAAAGAAACCAAAAATGAAGATTGAGTTGAAGATAGAACCAAAAAATCAAAAATCAAAATCAAAATCAAAATCAAAACAAAAGAAAATTAGATGAAACAAGGGAGAACTGAAACAGATAAGAAGAGTAACATAGAGATAGAGAGAAAGGAGCACACAGAGAGTTGGAATGTGACGATGACAACTTGAAAACGAAGGCTGAGTTGAAGATCCAAGTTGATAATAGTCTTTTGTTTTTTAAATATTCCCTCTAAATTATCTTTTCAAATGGGTAACTATGGATATTCGGCTATAGATATGAGAAAATCTTAGGGAGGCGAGTATTAAATTTTTCAATAAAATCTTGGGGTGGCAAACCTATACAATATAGGCATATTCTTAACTAATATATTCAAGGAGTTTTTTCAAAACTTTGGGGTAGCAGTCTCCCCTACCAGCCCCTCCTCGGTCCATCCTTGTTTGTATCAAGAGGCAAAAACAAAAAGAGATGAGGGTTTGATGGTGCATAATGACAATAATTGTTCTAAAACAGATAACAAAAAAAGAAAAGAAAAGAAAAGAAAAGAAAAGAAAAGAAAAGAAACGAAAAAGTGTTTAAAGCGGAAGCAAAAGGTTTGGTGTGTTTGTTCCTCCTCCTATGCGCATGTGCTGTAACAATCAAGTTGCTATTTTTATTGCCAATAATCCTATGTTTCATGAGTGCACAAAACATCTTGAGGTAGATTGTCAATTTATTGGGGATTTACTACTGTGAAAACAATTTCTGAAGTTGCGATTCATTATATTCGGTTTGATGATCAATTAAGCAATATTTTCACTAAGCTGTTAAGCTTGTCTGTCTTTTAAGTGTTTATCTATCAAGGTGTACATGTTTGATTTGTATGTGCTATCTTGAGGGGAGTGTTAGAATAGTCACGTGTTGTTTATTATTTTATATTGTTGTACATGTTTGATTTGTATGTGCTATCATGTTTTTAAAGCTTTGAAGTCAAGAAATTGCATGCATGTTATGTTTTCAACATTTCAAGTTTGATTTTACACAATTAACATGTTTTTGGGCTTTGATTTTGTGAACTAATCTTGAATTCACAATGTTTTACAAGTTTAAATATATTTTCTCAAGTTTTGGGCCCAAAAAGGACGTGTTTTGCTAGTTTGAATTTGAGTTTTGAAGCTGAAGAGCAATCTGGAAATTCTAGAATTTTGCATCTCCACTCGAGCGACGTAACCTACGCTTGAGCGACCACTCATAGTTTTGCACCTCAGCTTGAGCAAGGAAAAGTTGGCTTGAACATAAAATTCATGCTCTCGGAAGTTTTACAAAATTTTGTAGACCGCTTGAGCGACAAGAGCTACTCTCGAGCGAGGACCCTGTTACTCAGTCATATGCTCGAGCGACCATTGAGCGTGCGTTGAGCGGAAAAATCAAGCAACCAGTACTTTTGCAGAGTTTACAGTCTGCTCGAGTGACGGAAGTTGCGCTCGAGTGACCACCCTTATTTTTGACCCTCTGCTTGAGCAAAGGAAGCTACGCTCGAGTGAGGACCCTATTTTCAACAAATTTGAATAAGTGTTAAACAACATGTTTTGACATCCTCATTACATCCTAGGCATTCTTAAACTCTAATTAAGACATAATAAGGAGAAGACTTAGAAACACACAAAGAACGAAACATAATATGTTAATTATTATTCGAGTGTGTGTTTCAATGTGTGTATTTGTTATGTTGTGTAAATCACGCGCCACAAGTTAATTGATTTGTCTGCTCTATCTGTCTGCTTTGGGGCCATCTGTGAGTAATAACTTAGTAAAACTATGTTCAACTTTATTTATTTTCAGTATGACGAAATAAGATCTGTTTTCTGAAATGATATGTTCCATAGAATGAATGATGGCCCAATATCTAACAATGTATTTGTGGTATCCTTAACATCATGTGATATTTGTTAGCTGTTATCTAGTATCAGAGGTTCTATCATGGAACTTACTATGTCTGCAATCTGTTACCCGTACTGGAGGCCCTATAATAAGGTTTAGCATATCTGTCCTCTGTTACCTGGATCCGAAGGTTCCTGTATGGAACTGGTTACTTATGACCCCCATCTGTTCTGTAGCTGTTTTATTAGCGCTAATGGATGTACCACGTATGATGAAGTATGAACTCTGATTTCAGTATATGATTTGAATAAGAATATGAATATGAATACGTTTTTTATATGAATTTTGATTTCTGAATCTATTATGGGACATCATTCAATTAAAACCCTTTACTTTGTTATTATTTACTGGGCTCCCGCTCACTTTATTATTTATGTATGTAGGTGACCAAATGCGTGACCAGGCTCAGTGATGATTGCCTGGACTCCTGTTTTGTTGGCCACCCTTTATGCCTCCCACGGAGGTTTCGAAATGAGTCATGTGGTCATGTTTTGTAAGCGTATAAGACTTTGTTTTCTTTTGTGGAATATAAACAAGTTTTCTGTTTACTTGTATTTTGGGCTAAGTTTCCTTCTAGTTATATCTGTAATGAATGTGACGTAAGACTAATGTAATCATGACGTCACGTTTATGTGTATAAGTTTTAAAATTTATGTCCCATGTATGTCTACACAGCTCAATGGATGTTGTATTTTGTGTATTTGCTTCTGCAGCCCCTTTATTTATAAGATTTTCAAGTCAGAGGCCTTCGGTAATCTCAGAATTACTGGCTGGTTACGACGTTAAACCTATATGGGTGGGTTTAGGTCGTGACAGAGTGGTATCAGAGCACGTGTTATATCGCACACACAAGTCTATATGAGCTATAGGATGTCCTAGAAAAAAATTAGGGACATTTCATTTGCATGTGTGAGTGTGTGTTAATTTCTGTAAATGTGAAAGTTGAATATGAACATGAATATATGAAATTGAAAAGAATGAATTCGAACTGAATACTCTGAACATTGTGAAAGAGAACTATTTGCGTATGTTTACAATTGCTTTGTTTACCTATAACAAATGGAAAATTCAAGAAGTGACGGTACAAGTAAATCTTTAGAGGCTCACACGAGCCGAATGGAACAAATGCTTGAAGCCCTAACTGAATCTATGAGACAACAACAAAGACAACAACCTCTACCTCCTTCGCCTCCTCCGGTCCAAGTAGAATTAGAAAACAATGATATTATCAATCTAATTCAGAAGTTCATGAATTTAGATACGAGTATCGGGTGCAGATGTGTATTTAAGTATTAGACCTTCATAAATTTAAATTTTATGATCTTGGTGTACATTTCAAAATTAGATATGGATACGGGGACATGTCAAATGCAAATATATATTGCATATTATGTAATATTCTCGGATGAGATGTTGTAAATTATGTAGAAATATATAATTTCTATATCTAATTTATGTAGGAGCCTAAAAATATTACTTTACTTCTTCATGTATTGTCACAAATTAAAGGATTTGAGTATTTGAATTGAATACGAGGGTGGTCAGTCATATATTTCACACCCTTACTCATATCGTATCCGATGGACATGGGATACTATAGAAGAAATAGAAGAGTCCATATCACACAATCATGTTATATTTCTGCAGTCTTACTTTAAATGTATGTTTATGAATTATTCTGTGTAAATATATGGTAATTTTCTTATTATTCTGTTTAGAATCATCTTACTTGCCCCTGGTTCTATATGGGAAAATGTTGTAGCCTATTAAGTAAAGTCAATCCTGTAATTCTAAAGAGCAATTTTTTTCTTCTTCTCTAGATTGCTTTGGAAAACACGATTCCTTTCTCTAATTCTGATTCTATTTCTGTTTTTGCCTAGATCTTTGGAGAACATAAAATCACTACAGACACACAGGGTGAATACAGTTTTGAGAGTTGCGAGCAGCTTTGAGCAAATGGAGGTTGATATCTCTGTAAGTCCCAGAGTGAATTCGGTGAAGCCCTCAACGACGTTGGCTATATCTGACCAGGCAGCGGCTTTAGTACAAGCTGGTGTGCCTGTTATCCGATTAACAATTGGAGAATCTGACTTCAATACCCCAGCTGTAATAGCAGAGGTAATTTTTGACAATTCTCTATATGATTCATTTATTTTTAAAAATAAAAATGTTTCCGAGTTCTTGCATCGCTATTATTGTTGGTCATGTCTTTATTTTTGTGATCTTATAAAAGTAGGCTGGGATTGATGCAATTCGTGAAGGTTACACAAGGTACACTCCAAATGCGGGAACCCTAGAGCTCCGATCAGCTATTTGTCAAAAGTTGAAGGGTTAGTTGATTTGCTATTTGTTCAATGCTTTTCTCCAACTAAACTGACTGCTATTCTGGCTAAGAGATTATTTTGACATTTTTATTTTTGCTTTTTATGGAAGAGGAGAATGGGATCTCTTATACACCTGATCAGATCTTGGTGAGCAATGGAGCAAAGCAGAGCAGCATTCAAGCAGTGCTAGCTGTTTGTTCTCCCGGAGATGAGGTGCAGTGTAGTCCATACTTTCACAATCATCACTATGTCTATAAATATGTTGTTTGATTTCCATGTGCTGTGAAATGAATATTAGATTTATTGTTCCCTGTTGACTGGTATGGAGTGTGTACTCTTTCTGTTCTGTATTCAACTCTCATTGCAAATAAATCACGTTAGGGTTTGAAACAATTACATCTCAGTTGACTGTACCATTTCTGTCAGAACTCTTGTTTGTTAACATTGTCAGTTTACAACAAACAGGAAACAAGTTTAAGTTTTTTTGTTTTTTTTTTATAAAAAACAAAAACAAAAACAAAAACAAAAAACTTAAATGGTGTACAAAAATGTTTTGTAAAGAAATAAAAGCAAAAATTAGAGAAACATGTTTAGTGAGTTGCCCATGGTGGTGGCGGCCGATGGTGGAGGGTGGAGGAATATGGTGGCCGGCTAAGAAGCGCGGACACAAACACGTGGCATGACATGACATGGACAAGCCGACACACTAATTTTCAAAAAATATAGGACACGACACGTGGGCGACACTGACACGCATGAAATATATAATTTTATATATTATATATGTAAATATATTATTCAAAGATAATAAAAAATGCAATATGATACCAATTCTTATAAATTTATATAGTTTTTGCTTTATTATTGTAGCTTAAGTTGTTTTGTTTAAACTTATAATTAGTTTCATATGTGTCTAATCGATAGACATATGTGTTTAAGTGATAGATATGTGTGTCTTTCAAGTGTCCAAAGAATGCTTGAGTTTTTAAAAAAAATTAAAAATAGGACACGTTTTGAAGAGCGTTGGACACATGTCGAGGAAGTGTCCAAAGAGTGTCGGTGTCCAACATAGACACGACACGGATACATCACCTTCTTAGAAGTGTCTGTGCTTCTTAGGTGACCGGCTGTGGTTGCTGGAGTTAGTGGTTAGAGTGTTGTCGAAGGTCACGATGGTGACTGATTGGTTGCTGAAGAGTCACTGGAAGGTGGTCGGAGTTCTCTGATAGAGAGCCAGTGTTGATGGTGCGGGGATGGCTGGAGGTGGCCGCCAAAATTAGTTATTGAAGTGTCGCCGGAGGTCACGGAAGTGACTGGCTGGTCGCCAAAGAATTACCAGAAGGTGGTCAGAGGTCGGCAGTGGGTGGTGACTGAAGGTGGTGGGGGACAGAGGAGACTATGGAAATTTATTTTGAAAAAATGTGAAAACACATATTTTTTCATTTCAAAAAATTTTGAAAACTTTGGAATCAATTCCATTTTTTTGAAAACAAAAACAATATACTAAACATGTTTTCGTTTCCATTTTCCAAAAAAAAAAGAAAAAAGAAAAAAGAAAAAAGAAAAAGAAAAAGAAACAAAAATGTTAACAAACGACCCCTAAGATATCATTGAATTGCTGAGGATAATGATCTTTTTCTGATTGGTGTGGTAATTTGACATGTTGATTCAGTTGGGTGGGTGTCTATACTGGTAGGACTTTCCTCTAAATAGTACGTTGGTGTTATCAGAATCTCTCATCCCAAGTAATCTTAATAACTAGGGGAAAAGGCCTGCAGTTGGTCATTGCCTGACGCTTTCTTCATGCTTCAAAAGGATAGCAACTTTATTTGGTTCTCTTGACCACAGCGATCAAGAAAGAATCTAATGGGTCTTGCAAGTTGCAGATCTAATATAGATAATAACTTTAACTGTGGAACTATGGCAGAATAAATGGAATGGTAGGAAGGGTACTACACACAGTTAATTACATTGAAGAGTTGAGGTTCAGAGACATTATTTTGCAGAGAGGATTGTTCACTAGTGCATCTTTTTGGCACAATAATTTTTGGCCGGTTATCACTTTTCCATGAATTTACCTTCCAGAAAGGAAGAGGAAGAAAAAAGAAGAAAACTACATAATAGGCATGTTTTGTTCTGATGTTTTATTGCCCCTTTCAAATGTTTGTGTTATGAAGGTTGACACAATGTGGGCACAATCGTATAATCTGTTGGTTACCTAGATGAGGGGTGCTGATTTTTTGATTGTTAAAGTCAAATGCTTGACCTTTGCATTTGATAGACACTTATTAGCATCGTATTTATTCTTCAGGTTATAATTCCAGCTCCATTTTATGTGAGTTACCCAGAAATGGCAAGGCTGGCTGATGCAACGCCTGTAATTCTTCCAACCCACATCTCCAAAAATTTTCTCTTTGATCCTAAGTTTCTTGAATCCAAACTGACTGACAAGTCAAGACTGTTGATTCTTTGTTCTCCATCTAACCCAACCGGATCTGTTTACCCGAGGAAACTGCTTGAAGAAATTGCTCAAATTGTGGCGAGGCATCCTCGGCTTCTGGTAATATCACTTGTCATGCAACTTTTGGTGCTTGTACTTGTAGAATTTTCAACTTAGTTAACAATTGAGTTTGGGACTATCTTTGGCTGTTCCTTTCAGGTGCTGTCTGATGAAGTATATGAACACATTATTTATGCACCAGCGACTCATACAAGCTTTGCATCTTTGCCAGGCATGTGGGAGAGGACTCTGACTGTCAATGGGTTTTCTAAGGTGCTCCATCTCTGTTTCTTTTAAGCTTCTTTTCTGCTTTCATGATATGTCTCCCTTATAAATCATTTTGATGTGGTCATAAACATCAACTGATGAATCTCAGAAAATGTGGATATTTGCAGACCTTTGCAATGACTGGTTGGAGACTTGGATACCTAGCTGGTCCTAAACACTATGTTGCAGCATGTGGAAAGATTCAAAGCCAGGTATGCCATTTCTTGGCCTCTCCACACCCTTCATTTGTATTTGTAAACTCTTGCCTAGTTGTATTCTGTAACCTCCATCAATGTCTGTTAACAACTTAACATATACTTCATTGAGAATCAAGATTCTTGGCTATGCTTAAGCTTTTGATGATACATTGGATTGTTTTGTCATGCTTTGTTATGGAGGTTCTGACCTAAAGATATGGAAAGATAAAATAATGCTCCTCTTGTTCTTTCTCACTGATGAATGTCGAGATTTGGAGCAATTGGATAGTTGAAATGGCAGCATATCTTAAGAAAGTTATTCTGACTACGCGATTCGGAATAATTCTATCTGTTGCAGTCATTAGTTTGGCCTTGGTTAATCATGGATCAAAATGATTTGGACGTGATGGGAGGACTCCCCTACATCACAGAAGATGCGGAAGAAATGGTATGTGAAACTCCGGAAACTGCTTGTGAATCCGACGGGTTTCCAAAAGATGTTTCGGTTGCCTCTCTGACTCGTGATGATGAAGCTGTGATGACTTTTGCGGGTGAAGCTTCTGTAAAAGGGGCAGCTAAGAATGCTAGTTAGTCTCTCTTTCAAGTTTAACCTTCTCTTTTGTTTCATTTGTTCTGGACCTTTCTGTTTTCCTTGTTTGCCAGTGGTGTGAACTGCGTCCGTTGCTGCAATTGCCTGGGGATCGCCTCTTCTTGCTGCCATGAGTGCCCCTTTCTCAAACTTTTCTCTAATATAAGTACTGCCCTTTGCTGCTATTACATGAGCTGGAAAGAGCTTTCTTTATTTAGACCATATTTAAAAAATACCAAAGGACCCAAAAACTTTTCTTTAAAGGACCTTCAAATTAAAGTCCAAAGCTCCTTTTATAAGGCCAAACCAACAAGGCTTTGATTTCCACCAGCTTAGGCCATTCAAGACTTTAAAAATAATGGTCACTGTTATTTCACTCTGTACTCGTGGCTTTGCAAATGCAATATAGAAGTTTAAAATTCATGATAATTTATAATGGTCACTATTGAAATATAGAAGTTTAAAATTCATGATAATTTATATGATATATCTATGTTATATGGGATAGATTTTGTCACGATATATTGCAATATTTATTGATATTTTAAAAATTGTTAAAAAAATTGATGCAATATATCAATATGTGATATATCGCGATATTAGACAATGCTTTGGTAATAAGTTGGTAGTGGTAAATGTTCAGTAAAAACTGCTTGAAAGCTATTGCAGACTGCAGTGTGGCTTTGATTTCCACCAGCTTAGGCCATTCAAGACTTTAAAAATAATGGTCACTGTTATTTCACTCTCTACTCGTGGCTTTGCAAATGCATTGCTATTGAAATATAGAAGTTTAAAATTCATGATAATTTATATGATGTATCTATGTTATATGGGATAGATTTTGTCACGATATATTGCAATATTTATTGATATTTTAAAAATTGTTAAAAAAATTGATGCAATATATCAATATGTGATATATCGCGATATTAGACAATGCTTTGGTAATAAGTTGGTAGTGGTAAATGTTCAGTAAAAACTGCTTGAAAGCTATTGCAGACTGCAGTGTTGATCATTAGCGCTTCATTGCGATTGGTTATTTTAACATGTCAATTTTAATTTGTTTTTACATTCATGGAAGCATGTTCTCGCCTTATAATCAACAAGGTCAATCTAATTTGTGCATGTATCATTCCAGTTCGCTTCAGGTGCCAGTAGCATATCCCAAAAAGCAGGTGTTGCTGCTTTGGGACTGGGTTATGCTGGTGGGGAATCAGCTTCTACTATGGTTAAAGCATTTCAGGAGCGGCGAGATTATTTAGTTAAGAGTTTTGGAGAATTGGAAGGTGTTAAAATATCAATACCCCAGGTATGGACTTTATTTATTTTGCATACATATTTGGTGTTTAAAACCAATGGTTAAGATTTGGCTTAATTGTAACATTCTTGAAAGCTTTTTTGTATATTCAATTGTATCAAAGATTACAATCAGACCTTAGATTATATAGCCCTAAATCCTAAACCAAAAAGGAAAATACAAATACTACAAATACAATTATAATTATGTCTTTAACAGGACTCTAACACAATCATGCCTCTAATAGGACTCTAATTTGTAAAACACAGGATAATATATTCTATATTCTCACACCTCCGTTCAAACTCAAGGTGTTTTAGCAGAAAACACTGAGAGTTTGCTAAGAAGAAACTGAAACCGAGCGGTAGTGTGAGTCTTGGTGAAGAAGTTCGCAAGTTGCAAAGCCGAAGGAATGAAAGGAAGCGAGATGGAGGCAGACTGCAGATGCTGGCGAACAAAGTGACAATCAATCTCAATATGTTTCGTCCGCTCATGAAAGACAGTATTGTGGGCAATCTGAACAGCACTGCGGTTGTTACAATAGAGAGATGTCGGAGAAGACTGAGAGACACCCAAATCAGACAAGAGACAACGAAGCCAAATGGGTAACATCACCGTAATGGACCCAGATCCTTCATTTCAAAGGTGCGAAAGAGATGCTGCTTGACCTCAGAGATAGCAGAAGAGTTTGAGCCAGTGATAATCATATCATCCGCATAGAGTAAGAGAGCAACAAAACCAGCCGAGGTATGTCGCAGAAATAAAGCAGAGTTGGAAGTAGAAGGATGAAACCCGAACTCGGTAACAGCAGTCCGAAATCGATCATACCAAGCACGAGGAGACTGCTTTAGACCATACAGAGCACGCCGAAGACGACAAACTTGACCAGAGGGATGGTGAAGGCCAGGGGGAGGACGCATGTAAACCTCCTCAGTGAGATGGCCATTAAGAAAAGCATTCTTAACATCTATTTGATAAAGAGGCCAAGAACGAACAGCAGCAACAAAGATCAAAGTACGAACAGTAGTCATTTTGGTAATAGGAGCAAATGTCTCATCATAATCAATACTATACTTTTGAGAGAAACCTTTGGCAACTAGACGAGCTTTGTAACGCTCAAGAGAACCATCAGAATGAGTCTTGACTTTATAGACCCATTTGCAACCAACCAGGTTCTTATCAGCAGGCAAAGGAACCAACTCCCAAGTACTAGTTTTTTGTAAAGCAGACAACTCATCCTCCATAGCTTGAACCCAATGAGGATCTTGATAGGCCTCCTTGTAAGACTGAGGTTCTACAAAAGAGTGAATAGCAGACAAAAAGGTATGATAGGAAGTAGAAAAACAAGTATTAGACCAACCCAACCTGTTTGGAGGATGACGTGCTCGAGAAGGATATCGGTGTGCAGTAGGATCAGAGTCGTTAGAAGTAGAGGGAGCAGCAGCAGGGGCAGAGGCAACTGGTGGAGGAGGAGCCTTGCGACGAGAATAAACTAACAACGGAGGAGGAGAAGAAGCCGAGGGAAGAGAAGAAACCGAAGAAGGAGAAGCAGCTAGAGGTATAGGAGGAGAAGATGGAACAAGCTCAGAAGGAACAGTGGAGATGTACTCATTGGACGAGACCTCTGAAGGAAATGGGTCAATGTGAACCAAATCCTCTGAAGGAAACTGGAGCAGTGAGAGGGGGAAGCTGGAAGTAAGATAGACGTTCAAGAAAGGCAACATGACGGGAGACATAAAGACGACGGGAAACAGGGTCGTAACACCGATAACCTTTCTGAGTAGGACTATAACCCAAAAAGACACAGAGGACAGACCGGGCACTAAGTTTGGTCCTATCTTTGCGGGAAAGAAGAACAAAACAGGCAGACCCAAACACACGAAGGAGGGAATAGTTAGGAATTTGGCAGAACAAAGCCTCATAAGTAGACCGACTGGAAAGAAGGAGAGTAGGCATGTGGTTGAGAAGAAAAGCAGCAGTAAGAACTGCCTCCCCCCAGAATGGAGTCGGAACTGAGGCAGAGAGAAGAAAAGACCTAGCGGTCTCAAGAAGATGACGGTGTTTACGTTCGGCTCGACCATTTTGGGCAGGTGTATCTGTACAGGAAGTTTGGTGAATGGTACCCAAATTGGCCAAATACTCACAGAACTCGTTTTTAAAATATTCCCCACCCAAGTCAGACCGTAACACTTTAATTGTAGACCCAAACTGAGTAGTAATCATAGATTGAAAAGTACGGTATATCTGATAGAAATCGGACTTATGAGTCATAAGATAAACCCAAGTGTAACGGGTGCAGTCATCAGCAAATGACACAGTATGCAGAATCCCCTTTGGTGAGAACAGGAGAAGGGCCCCAAACATCAGTATGAACTAAAGAAAACGGTGTATCAGATATAGAAGTATTTTTATGAAAAGGTAAGGCTGACATTTTGGCAAGTTTACACCCCCGACATTCATCAATTTGACTAGGAGAAACTTTACTCAACAATCCTGACTGAGCTAAAGACCGTAAGCGGTCAACAGACAAATGACTGAGACGAGAATGCCATAAGTAAAACTGACTCGACTGAGCATCTAATTGAAACGAGGAAAGTGCAGCTGGAGAGGTGGATAAGGAGAGATGCAAACTTTCAACCACATAGAGATCTCTAATTCTACGGCTGGTCCCAATCTGCTTCTTGGACACCCGATCCTGTACACAACAGACAGAAGAGGAAAAGAGAACATCAAAACCACAAACGCATCAAGTTGACTGATAGATAACAAACTGACAGATAACTGAGGAACATAAAAAACAGAAGGAATAGTAATAGCAGACATGGCAGAGGGTAAGACAGACCTAACAGACAGAACAGACATACCAGATCCATTAGCAGCATTGACAGTAATAAGAAAGGAAGGAGGAGTACAATTTTGAAGTAAGGAGAGATGGGGAGTCATATGATGAGAAGCACCAGAGTCAAAAATCCAAACAGACGAAGAAATACCTGAAAAAGAACCAAGCAAACCTGAATGAAGAGAGGAAATAATTCAGGCAAATGGGGACGGCTGGGAGGTAGACAATATATGCTGAAGCTGACTAATCTAAGTAGTTAAGGAAGCCAAGTCAGGATCAGGAGCTGGAGCGGATGTAGTATAGGCAGCGGGATCAGGAGCTGGAGACATCGTAATAACCAGAGAGAAAAGTGAAAGGGACTGATGGGGCAAAGTGTAATAATCAAAATCTGAGGGGTCAAACTATAATAACATGGAACTTGTTTGGGCCAAACAAGAATAAACAACTGGGTCAAGAGTTGAACCACACAGACAGAGAGACAAGAGTCGAAATCGACTCTGGAGCAAATAAGAGTCGAAGTCGACTGAGAGACAAGAGTCGAAGTCGAAGCCGATCAAGAGGAACAAGGGCAGACAACTCTTCGATCGTGTGAATCGAAGTAGGAAAGAACTCGGGATGCAACTGCAGAGGGGTTACGAACCAGACTGGAGAACCCACGACTCACGACTTCAGAGACGAAGCTGAGAGAGACCGAACCTGAGGTTGCGAATCAGAAGACGACTCGATCAGAGAGACTAAACGAACCATACCCAATCTCAAACCAGATGGGTCGCATGAATTCGGAAGGCTGAAACAAAGAACTCAACGAGGCAGAGAAGTTTTGACAATGGCTGCTAGGGTTTCGAACCATGCTCTGATACCATGTAAGATTCCTAAAAGTTTTTCTGTATATTCAATTGTATCAAAGATTACAATCAGACCTTAGATTATATAGCCCTAAATCCTAAACCAAAAAGGAAAATACAAATACCACAAATACAATTATAATTATGTCTCTAACAGGATTCTAACACAATCATGCCTCTAATAGGACTCTAATTTGTAAAACACAGGATAATAAACACAGGATAATATATTCTATATTCTCACATTAATAACCTTGAGGTTATGATTTCAAGCTTTGGAACCACCACTTTGTGTATTATGCCAAAGATTAGGTGTGTACTCAATCTTTTCCCCTTCAAACACACATTAATGTGTACTAATTGGGCGTTGTTTTTTATTTGGTGTTTAAAACCATGTGCTAGCGTGCTTTGTCCTGTCCTTTTTCTTCTCTTTCCTTTTTTTAATTTTTTTTATTATTCTGTCCCCATGCTATTGCAATATTGATTTTGAGTGTTATTACACTTCTCATTTGCAGGGAGCTTTCTATCTCTTCCTTGATTTCAGCTCCTACTACGGAGCAGAGGCTGAAGGCTTTGGTATGATCAAAGATTCAGAATCTCTATGCCGCTATTTGCTGGACAAGGCCCAGGTAATCTTTCGAGGGTTGCCGTGTCATAATCAAATGAAAAGAAAGTAGAAAGAGATGTAAATTGAATGACATTTAAGGGAATGTAGAAAGTAGGTCAGGAAGAACTCACAAGTGGATGAATTAGACCTAAGCGCTAGACAGTGCTATAAACTCTCTTTTCGCATCTACTCATTAATTTATCTGGGTATAAAAACATGGTCGAAAGCGGTGAAGTTCATTTCTTGCTTTTACTTCACATTATTATTATTATTATTTATAATAATGACTTAAGGTTATGATTCTCAGGTGGCTCTTGTCCCAGGAGATGCATTTGGGGATGACAGCTGCATTCGCATCTCGTATGCAGCATCTCTTTCCAGCCTAGAGGCTGCAGTGGACCGTATTAAGAAAGCATTAATCACTCTTTGACCTGCTATCCCTGTTTAACTTAGAGACTAGCTATCATAAGTTATTATTCTTGTACTCATTTTCAGATCCAAAATGTGTATTTTGTGGTTAATTCATATTATATAATGAATAAAACTTGGGGATAGTTAATGTCATTCCATGAAAAAAAGTCCGGGACCTCATATTCCATAACCTATTTCAATCAATCCGCGCTTGCTATTGTACTCGTTATAATCAAGTAGAGACGTTGGAAGACTAGTACACTGGTAAAAGTGGGGTATATTTTTAAAATACTTTTTGTAATTTGATGATTTAAAATTTGTTTTTCTCTCTTTTAGATGAACATTATTATTAGATATTTAAATTTATTTATTTTTATATATATTTAGGGGTCTTTTTGCAGATGATATCATGCTAGTGGATGAGACTAGAGAAGGAGTTAACACAAAATTAGAGATTTGAAGAAAACCTCTTGAATCTAAAGGATTTTGGATAAGTAGAACTAAGACAGAGTACATGGAGTGTAAATTTAGTAATAGTAACAATGAAAGCAGGGGAGAAGTAAAAATTGAGAACCAAGAACTGTCTATGAGTAAACATTTTCTTTATTTAGGGTCGATTATCACAAGAGTGAGGGAGATTGATGCGGATGTGGCCCATAGGATTAATTTGAGATGGTGCAAGTAGAGAAGTGTGTCTGGGGTACTATACTATAAACGAATACCCACTAGACTAAAAAGTAAGTTTTATAGAACGATTATTAGACCAATGATGTTGTATGGGACGCAGTGTTGGGCTTCCAAGAAATAACATGTAGATAAGATGAGTGTTGCTGAAATGAGGATGCTAAGGTGGATGTGTGGCAAGACTAGACAAGACAAGATAGAATTATGAATGAGTGTATTCGAGAATGGGTACGAGTAGTACCGATAGAAGATAAGTTAAGGGAGAATTGATTGAGATGATTTGGTCATGCTCAACGGAGACCAACAGAGATAGTAGTGAAGAGATGCGATACTGTAACGGTAGATGGAAGTGTTAGGGGACGGGGTATGCGTAGATTAACGTTGGCTAGCGTTGTAAATAGAGACATGGATATACTTAATTTGACTAACGAAATGATCTTTGATAGGGTCGTGTGGAGAAGAAGGATTCATGTATCTGAGCTCATTTGATGGGACTTAAGGCTTGGTTTGGTTTATGTATTTAGGAGTCTAATTGATATTTTGAGCATAGTTTGGAAAATAAAATGAAATTTCAATTGAAGTTTCGGTGCCATATATAACTAATAGTTGGGGTAAAATTGATCTAAGAATGAATAATTTTAAGTATAAAATTGATATTATTAAAAGAACAGATGTCGAATCAGTTTTTAAGTGATAATTTGAATGATAAAATGGAATTTTTTCATAAAGATTTGATCTTCACCAAGTCTTTCTGACTTAGAAGTTATGAGTCACTTCGGAGAAAGAAGCTACCTAATTATTTTTTATTTTTATGGTATACCTCAATGAAAGCAATTTTACTATTTCTTTAGGTGTGAGTGTAGTAAAAAGAGAAATCTAAAATATGAAGGACAATGTTGAATAAAATGACAATGATAATGATTTGTTATTAATGAAAAGTGACAATTAACACAGCAAAAATTAGTTAAGATGTTGAATTGAATGATAATGATAATGATTTTTATTAATGAAAAGTGACAATTAAAACAGAGCTCAAATTAGTTAAGATAAAATTATTTGCTACCTTTTTAGAACACCAAGTGACTATTTTATTCACAAATTACTAAACAATATATATTCTTATTTTTTTTAATTATTTTATGTGTCAACAGAAAATTGTGAGTCTCACTTTTGCATCCATGACAACTCTCCTAAAGCCACTTGTTCATTTCTAGTTAAGAGTTAGAAAGAAATTGAAATTGAAATTTGAAATTTGAACATGTGCTTGGACATAAACAATTGGAAATGATTTTTTTATTGAATTGGTTGTGTTGTGTCGCGTGGTTTATCATTGGCCATTTTCTTGATTGGCTTGGAGTCTGTTTTTTTTTATTATTATTATTATTTTATTTTATTTTTAATTTTTAACGCTAAGTTCTATTACAAGATCAAGATGTGTTCAACATATTAGTCATTGTCCTTTTTTTTTAATTTATTTTTTATTTTTTAGAACCAGTAAAACAGATTATATATTAATAAAAAGGATATAAGTTTAGATACAAAACAATCACAAAACGCAAAGAGCAATGCTATGTATCATGAAAAAACTTTCATGAAAATGATCATGAAAAATGTATGACCCTTGAATCACACTTAAAATAAAACACCACACACTAATTAAGGTAATCCAAAGGTCATAAATTTTTCATGATCAATGTAATCCAAAGTCATAAATTTTTCATGATCAATTTCATGAAAGTTTTTTCATGATCCCTAAACGCAAAAGAACTAAGCCACGAACATATAACTAACCTGAGCTATTAATTATTAATTATATGCAAGAGTTTGGATTTAATTAATTCAGAATAAAGGCAATTTGGCCATAGTTATGATTTGAGGATAATGTTATAGTACACACCTTTAAAGGGAGTACCACATGTAAGATATATTATTTGTGAGTTTGATTATCATAAATTGTATAATTAAATACTATGAGAGTTATACTAAAAAAAAAATTGAGTTATAAACAAACATCACATGAGATAAAATCAATTACTCTTTGATCATAACCAAAATAATATTATAACCAATATCACAATATGTCATAACTAACAACACGATACTTCATAACTAACAACACAAATGCCGTAACTGAATGTGCATACGATACACATCCCAAAAGAATTTCCCCCTGATCAAGAAGTAATAGATCTTTTTTTTTTTTTTTTACCACATGTAAGATATATTATTTGTGAGTTTGATTATCACAAATGGTATAATTAAATACTATGAGAGTTATACTAAAAAAAAACTGAGTTATAAACAAACATCACATGAGATAAAATCAATTACTCTTTGATCATAACCAAAATAATATTATAACTAATATCACAATATGTCATAACTAACAACACGATAGTTCATAACTAACAACACAAATGCCGTAATTGAATGTGCATACGATACACATCCCAAAAGAATTTCCCCCTGATCAAGAAGTAATAGATTTTTTTTTTTAAAAGAAAGGGCTAAGTCGTAATTTCAATAGCTCATTTTTATTTTTTCACAACCATCCTTTTACACGGAGTGAGCTATTATAGCTCCCAAAAAGGATAAATTGTGTTTTGCAAAAATGATAGAAGAATTATTTGGGTTTGATCTGTGCAATAAACTTTAAATTTTAATTTGTTTAATTTAAATCTTAATATTCTAAACTAGTAATAAGTTTAACCATCTATCCATCTCCCTTAATTTTTTTAATATAAAATAAATGTGGCATTCTATCATTTGATATTTCAACTTAGTATTAAAATCAACCTCTACTCTTCCCCCACTAGTACTACCATCATCTCTTTACTCACAACTAGGATTGCAAACGAGATGAATCAAGCCAAGCCAAGAAAAGACGTGTTTGAGCTTGGCTAGCAAAGAATTAGTTGAGCTCAAATCGAGCTTACACTTAGCTCATCAAGCATTTAAGAAACTCGACTCAAGTTTACTCCATTACACATCCGAGTTGAACTTGAGCTCAAACTTGAAAAAAAAAAAAAATTCAAACTTTAATTAATTTGAATATTTAAAAAAAAGAAAAAAAAGAAGAGAAAATCAATTTACAATTTACATGCCTTTAGGCGAAAATCTCACTTGATTTTGAGTTTGGCCTATTTGCTAAATAAACGAGTTGCTTTAACTAGTTTATTTGCAGCTCTACCCACTACCACCATAAAAGTTGGTTTTTAATGAAGTTGGAATTTGTACAAAACTTGAAGTTGATATTTTAAAGCTCAATAAATTATTTTGTGTGATTTTTTTTTAAATTTATTTTTTATGTGAATTAGAAGGGATGACATTGGAATGGAAGGGAAGAGAAGGGGAGGAGAGGGGTGGAGCTGGCATTGGGAAAGATGAGGTGGGGTGGTGCTGGGAATGGAACAGAGGGGGTAGCATACTGGTGATGGTGGATGGGTGGCAATATAGTGGTGGCACCATTGATGTCGGGAGAGGCAGAAAAACAGGTGGACAAAGAAAATAGGTGAAGAGAAACAAGATGAACTGACAGAAGAAAAATATCGTTAAGAATAGAGTTGACAACTTTAATTATTCGTTTACCATTAATTTTAGTAAATTTATCTACACAAATAATTGAGAGTGATATCAATTTTAAAATGTAAGTTTTAAATTGAAAAAAAAAAAACCAAAGGTTAAACCTTTAATTTTAGGAAAAAAATATACAAATCCACTTTGAAGTGATATAACTGGTTGATGATTAAAGAAGATATGAGATAGTGTTATTTTTAATATCCTAATTGATTAATCACTGAGTTTAAAAATTAGATCTAATTTTTTATGTTCAATAACAATGCTCTTAATTAGTTTTAGTTTTATTATTATTATTTGTAATTTTTTCTTATGTTCTTTACTCTAGTGATTTGAAGTGAAGTGTTTATTATAATTTTTCATTTAGTTTGAAGTGCATATAAAATAAGCAATTTTCATGTCTTTGTGGTTCTATCAAATTAAAATGAAAAACCTACAAGTTTTTTCAATGTCATAATTAAAAAGAGAAATGTTAGGGATCATGAAAAATTTTTTTATGAAAATGATCATGAAAGATTTGTGACTCTTAGATTACCTTGATTAGTGTGTGGTACACTATTCTAAATGTAATCCAAAGGTCACAAATCTTTTATGATCATTTTCATAAAAGACTTTTCATGATACCTACCATTACTGAATTAAAAACTACAATGATTAAAAAGATTTTCTCAAGTTATGAGTTAAAAATGTAATTTATACAAAAATAAAATAATGATATTAGCCGTTACGATGCGGCAAAAAGCACCAAGGATCCTCTAGAGTATTTTTTTCCTAAAGTTTCCTAGAGTGGTGCATTATGTAGTTGAGATTTAATGACAAGTCACATCAATTTTTTAACATTAAATCTCAACCACACAATGCACCACTCTAGAAAACTTTAGGAAAAAAATACTCTAGAGGATCCTTGGTGCTTTTTGCCGCATCGTAACGGCTAATATCATTATTTTATTTTTGTATAAATTACATTTTTAACTCATAACTTGAGAAAATCTTTTTAATCATTGTAGTTTTTAATTCAGTAATGGCCATGTTTGATTCACAATACTAATAGTGAGGTATTAATAATCCTATCAAATTAGTGTGGTATTAACTATCCCACCCCTACCCCATTACTAATTATCCTACAAATTTGTTGGATTAATTATCCATTGGATTAATAGTACTAAACCAAATATCAAAACAAACATAGGATGGTTGGGCCCACGGATTAATAATCCTAATCCCATACTTTAATCCTTCCAATCAAACATATTCTTAATTTTTTTTAGTTTTAGTTTTACTATTATTTGTAATTTTTTCTTATGTTCTTTACTCTAGTGATTTGAAGTGAAGTGTTTATTATAATTTTTCATTTAGTTTGAAGGGCATATAAAATAAGCAATTTTCATGTCTTAGTGGTTCTATCAAATGAAAATGAAAAACCTACAAGTTTTTTCAATGTCATAATTAAAAAGAGAAATGTTAGGGATCATGAAATTTTTTTCATGAAAATGATCATGAAAGATTTGTGACCCTTAAATTACCTTGATTAGTGTGTGGTGCTTTATTTTAAGTGTAATCCAAAGATTACAAATTTTTCATGATCATTTTCATGATACCTAGCATTATTGAATTAAAAACTACAATGATTAAAAAGATTTTCTCAAGTTATGGGTTAAAAATGTAATTTACACAAAAATAAAATAATGATATTAGCCGTTACGATGCGGCAAAAAGTGTTAATAAAGGTAAGAGTGGTGAGGAATAAAATAGAATATGATATGATGGTTTGTATCTGTGTCTCTTCTCTATGACTTTCTCCATAAGGTTGGATATTCTCAATCTCAACAAATCAACAGTTTTTTAGTTAAAAATAGAGACAATAACATGTTAACACGTATACCACAACCCCACGTAAACGTGCCCCACATCATTAGTAATACTATTCAATTTACGAAAGGACTCCTTTCTTCCTTGTATGACTTGGCTTCACTTTCTTCCTCCATTGTACCAACTCATTCACCATTTGGTCAAGAAATCTCAAAAGCCTCTTCTAAAGGACAATGCTTCACCTCAAAACGCCCCAATAAAAAGCAAGAAAATTTTATTATTTTGTGATAAATTTACGTATTTTTATAATAATATTATATATTTTCTTACTTAAGTAGTTTTTATCTTAAAAATATTACTATGTATAATTTTATTTTTGAATCATAAATTATCATAATAACTATCAAAAAAATAACATTCATCATAATAATACGTAACATATATTACAAAAAATGAGTAATAAGGGTGCATATCACACACCCATAACATTACCCTAAAAAGTATATACCCATACATATATTTTATTATATAAAATATCAACAATGCTACATACCCCCAAAAAATACAACCCCCACACACCCCTGTGATTTGTTCAGGAAGAAAAGAAAAAAAAAAAAAACACACCCCTGTGATTTGTTCAGGAAGAAAGAAAAAAAAAAAAAAACATGATTGGTCCACATCATTTTGGGATCAGCGGAGTCCCCAACTTTGAGGTCCTAAGCATTTTTGATAAAATATATGTTTCATTAACTTTTTACTTTTACCTTCTCTTATAATTGTTACATTTAATAATTACTAAACAAATTTTCACATTCTGAACTATTTTCCTCATTCAAATTTATCATACCGTCTAAAAATTTAAATTTATTAAATGAATCGCATTGTTTGTGGCAATAAGATTCCTTGCTGTTCTACGTGGAATAGCTTTAGATAGGTAGGACATCCTCAAGACGCCAAGGACACCTTTGTCCAAAGCCCCAAACATGAAGTTTTAACTTGAACTACAAGACAATCAATCTCTAATCTCTAATTAATGAGCTTAACAAGAATATTCTTCTACCCAGGCCCCATTTCATTTCTCTTTCTCTTCTCCTCCCTCTCCTTTTCTCGGTTTATATAAACATGAACGAGAACGACAAAGCGGACATAACATAACCTGCCAATCTTCTTAACAACAAAGTTGGTACATACTAGAATTTAGTTGCCAATCTCAATCACAACCAGAATATTAATGGCAGTTCCAAAATCAAGAAATGTTACAGCTGAGATTGTTTTCTTCGACTTGGAAACAACGGTGCCCAATAGAGTCGGACAAAGGTTCTGGGTATTGGAGTTTGGTGCAATTGTAGTCTGTCCTCGAAAACTCATTGAGCTGGAGAGCTATTGCACGCTGATTAGACCTGGGGATTTGTCAGTAGTTTCTGTGAAGTCAAGCAGGCCTGATGGCATAACTCAACAAGCAGTCAAGAATGCGCCTTTGTTTGAGGAAGTTGCAGACAAGATATTTAGCATTCTTGATGGGAGGGTTTGGGCTGGTCATAACATACAACGATTCGACTGCGTTCGTATTAGGGAGGCCTTCAAGGAGATTGGTAGGCCTGCACCACTGCCTTCCGGGATGATTGATTCGTTGGGTGTTCTGACAGATAAGTTTGGCAGAAGAGCTGGTAATATGAAGGTATGTACAAATTTTGAAATCTTAATGAGAAATTTCTACTCCTCACCATTGTAATTATTTGTTATTTCTGTTGTGAGGTTTGGCTTCTTTCCAATCATTTCTATTTCGGGCGTGTTTGCTTGAAGCATTTACTGGGTTTATCTCAGCGATGCTTATTCTTGCACTCCTGTTTCTGATCTTGTAACATTTTCATTTATTAACAAAATGTTAATTCTTTTTCTGATTAAAAGTAAAATAAAATTGCACCTGATTGATCGTGTAGTAAACATCAAAACTTAGCACATACAATAATGCAATATTGTCAGATATTTTTCGAATCAATAATAATCTGAACGAGGTTCTTTAACAATGGCATCCAGGAGATAGCATGGCAATGTATGTATTATTCTAGAGTTCCAATTTCATAGAGCTGAAATTCCAGTTACTTTTCCAAAATGATAGACTTTTCAAAAATATTTGAACTTCATAATTTCCAATAGGACAATGATAAAGGCAACATATAGACAGTGACGTATGCCTTTGTTTTGTACATAATTTTTGAGAAAAATGTCATTATTTAAGAACAACACTACTGGGACCCCCAGGACCCCAGCACCCCCACCTCCACGTGGGGGCTGTGATTGCAAGTCAAAAAAAAAAAAAAAAAAAAATTTCAACCAATCAAAAAACAGTGGGGTGGTGGGGGTCACCCCCACTGGGGTCTCAATCATTATGCATTTAAGAATTTTAATACATAATTTGGTAGAAAATTTTCTAATTGAAAGTATCTTGATGGGTTTTTTGTTTTAAAATGAAAAGCCTACAACTCATCGACTTCATTCTTTCTAAATAAACTTTTGATATATGTTATAACACTGCTCAATTGTTAAGGTCAACAACAGGTCGATCTATTTCGTTTTATGCACAATTCCGACTTCAAGGGGAAATATAATCTTTCTATCATGCAATGTGATAGATATAATATTGTAATGCAAATGCCATTATGCTGATTACATCTTTCAAAATTGGTTTAGATGGCAACATTGGCTGCTTACTTTGGACTTGGGCAGCAAAAACATAGGTAAGAAATCTCCCTTTGTAGGATTTTCTAATCCCTTGGCTTAGCTTAGCTCAGCTCAGCTCATGTTTCTCAATTCTTTTATAATTCTTGCATACATACAGGAGCCTTGATGATGTGCGCATGAATTTGGAAGTCCTCAAACATTGTGCAACTGTGCTGTTTCTGGTATATAATTATTCATAAACACTCTACTAATTATGCACCACCACCACATAAAGTTAATGCCGTGTACTTCCTTATTCCTTAATATACAAAACAATTCATGCAAACTTGAAAGTAAACAACTTCAATTTTAATTCTATCTGCTCATACATGGTTGCTTATTCATAGGAATCAAGCCTCCCAAATGTGCTGAACGGGAAATGGCATGGCTCTCCCACGGTGACAACAAGAAGCAGAAGTATGTTGGTACGTAGTAGTGTCACAAACATCAAACATCCTCAGTATTGTAAGATTAACTCTTTAATTGTCCTTTTAGATCAACAATGCTTGGCTGAGCAAAGAATGAAATACTAAATTTATGTGATCTTTAATTTCTTGAATGTTATGTTATGGGTGGATTTGTAATTAGGAATCAAATCTCCCCAATATGTCGAATGGAAGCTGGGACGGTCATCCAAGCATCACCCCAACAAAAAGCAAGAGTTTTATTGGGAAATTTCCATGCAGAGAAGAAAGTAGCAGCCGCAAATCTCCTCCAACTTCTCTGAGTTATCATAGAGCTGTTCCCTATGCAAGGGGAAGTTTAGGAAAGGTTTTATTACTCAACCGTCTTTTATTCCATAAAATGTGAACAATTCATTATTACATACATATATATCTAATCAATGTCATTCACTAACAATAGCCGGTTGTAAATGCAGATGACCGAAAGAGTGGCAAATATACTTTGTAAAGCCCAAAATAAACCTCTCAGTAATTTATTGAAGCATTCCCACTCACTGCTTCGATAAGAAAGAATGAGGTGGCCTCCTATTGTGGCATCTGTCTTTGGATCCTTGTTCCATTTCTGTTCTATCACGAGAAAGGTTTGCATTTGCATTGATGTGAGGGGATGTAAAATCCACACACAAATATGTGATCTGAGACTCTGTTGGGGGGGAAATTCCTGATGACACTGACTAATTTTTCTACAACTTATCATTATTGATGTCCCTTCACAGTGGGAAAATAAACATATTGAGAAAGTTTGATGGTCATATGTTGGCTTGTTTGGTGACACTTTCTTGGGAATTGGACAAATGATTGGAAACCGGGTGCAGATTCCCTCAAAAGCTGACTTTGTAGCCATAGAAATTCACTTGTATATGTCCTTTTAACATATTTATTGATTGATTGATTGTTCATTCTTTGTGGCATTTCTCATCCATGGTCTATATGGATCATTTGCATGAGATTTTGTCTTGTACATGTCGAATAATAAAAAGAAACTTGGAACCTTTGCACCTTTTATTTTTGTGTGTGTGGGTGTGTGTGTGTGTGGCATATAGCTACCACAAGCACACAATGTGCGCTGAAAATATGCTCTTGTGCAATGATGCTTTTTCCTTGGCCCTTTTATTGATGTAATCTTGATATACTTTCTTTATACTTACCGTGTATCAATAAATTTCTTCCGCGGATCAAATGCATATATTTTGGTGAACTATTCATTTCTTTATATGCAAATGCATATAAAAATGCTCTTGTGCAATGATTTTTTTATTTTATTTTTATAATTTCTCTATAATTTTATTTAGGAGTTTATTTCCGAACCAAAACAGAGCTGTGCACTGAGAGGAAATGATACGTGAAAATAGAAGCTCTCTAATTATTATTATTATTTTTTTGATCAGTAAAGAAAATGAACTTTATTGATGAAATAGACAACTATTACATCAATAGAAGAAAAAGGAGGATGAGTGAGAAAAGTATCATAGCGAATCAATTCAATCCCAACTAGGTTGGCATTAATAAGATCGCCCAATCATATGGTAGCACACCATCAAGAGTTGGTAAGGAACCAACCACAAACACCAAAATCAACCTCACCTAAGTAAAATCTAACCATATCTAAAATAGACCAAATAACCCAGAGCTACCAAATAACCAAAAAACAGGACAACAACAAATAATATTAGCTACAACAGCCAGATGAAAAGAGCATTGTCCACACAGACCAGCAGCAACCCATATCTGCAGAAAAAGGATATCAAAGAAAAACATCAGCAGCAGTAGAGTCCAACATTGCTAACAGAGTCCAGCATCAACCAGCAAGAACTGAGCTTCAGCTTCCTTGAGTCCCACTGTCTACACACAGTAGCAGATCTGCTTGAGGTTATAAATCACATCTTGTATTGAGTAGTTAAACTCTTTCAAGAAGAAAATAGCCCACATAACAACTCTATTTTTTATCAGCTCAGCCAAATCATGCAAAGCTGGTTGTGCCTCAATAAATATGCACTCATTCCTGATTTTCCACACTGACCCCATTACTGCTAATTGAATCGTCTTCCAAATCTCCTTCACCTTTTTCTTCATATTTGAACTTGACCACCAATGTAATACTGCCTCTATTGAACCAGGAATAACCCAACTCAGGTTCCACCAATTCACAATATTGATCCTTATTCTCCATATCATAGGGCAGTGAAGAAGGACATGGTTCAAAGACTCCACCTCAGATTTACAAAACATACATAGTGCATTGACGTTAGAATTCAATACACTAATCCTTTGCAAAAACTCAAAGGACATAATCCTACCTCTCCAAGCCAACCAGATCAGAAACTGTACTTTGGGAGGGGCGAAATTATTCCAAATGCTATTAGTGACTGTAATATTTGGCCCTTTACATGCTACCACCCACTTCTAGATTGATGCCACAGAAAAAAACTCCAGAGGAATGAGCTAACCGTGAGCAAGAGTCTTCGATCCCTTTATTTAGCCTAGGTGCACTCTGCAGCAGGTCATTGAGATTCAGTACTTCCTCATTTTCCTAAGCAAATAGAGGCCTTCTAAAGGCAAGATTCCAATCTGTACCCACTCTTCTTCTATGGAAAAACTCAACCAGAGTGCCATCTTCATCAACTAATAAGATGAATAATCTAGGGGATACCACACTCAAACTTTGATTATTAAACCATCTATCAGTCCAGAACTTCACTCTTCCACCATTTCCAACAACTACCTTAAAATTTTGCAAAAAAAAAATCTCACAAATTAGGATTTACTGCAGCCACTGATAGTATACCCTAACACATATTAGACATGGACACTGGATCTACTAAAAATGGGCTCCATCTGCCACCTAAACCTTCATACTTACTACAAACCACTTGTTTCCACAAAGCTGACTCCTCTTTGCCATACCTCCACCACCACTTCATTAAAAGGCACTCATTAACTTGCCTTAGATTTCTTACACCTAGCCCACCTTGATTTTTTCTTAGACAAACCTCATTCCACCGAACTAAGTGCATTTTTTTTCTTATTTCTGAACCTCCCCAAAGAAAATTAGCTTGAATTCTGTCTAGTGATTTTGCAATACTGTAGACGTCCCCGAACATCCCGGGAGGATGAATCCCCCATTCTGTTCATATGGGCTTACTACAGTTCAGGACTCAAAGTCACGGTCCTGTATCTAACCTCGCAGAGTGCAATGCAAGACCGACGAATCATCAAAGAGTCCGAATCCGGCAAATCGTTTTTGAAAACAGATTTTTTTGAAAGAAGTGCCAAACAAGGACTGCTTCGCTAGATACAGAGTCGCCACCTAAATATTTTATTTTTGGAAAAATTTAGGAAACCTTGACTCGTTGCCTAAGGCCATGTGTCCGTCATCACCAAAGTTGCCTCGGCTCAGGAACTTGGGTACGATTGGGGAAGGTCACTTTGTGAGCAACCCCGCTCACCCGATCAAAGATCGGCCTCTACTAACCATGATATCTAGTTTTGAAAACACTATGCGTTCTTATTCCAGTTATTAGCCTAGATTTACTATGTGATGCGCACAGCATACAAGTATAAACTGAATTGCCTGAATTGGAACGAAACATCTCATGTTTGTTTTGAAAATGGTTTGCTACTTGCAAGTAGGCTAAAATGTGGATTTGCCACCCTCAGGTGGGCTTAGAAAACATAGTTTTGCCACCATCTAGTGGGCTTAAAACTCGCAGTCGATGAGTTGTTCCAATTCAAATAACCCAACCTTCACCCACAGGCATTCAGGCAGGTATATCACATAAGCACATAGCCTCATGGTAAGCATGCTATCATGGCAGTCACTCACACTCATGCAAGGATGTTAAAGCATAAAACTTACCGAGTACTCCAAGCCAAAACAAAAGCTATGTTAGAAATCCATGCATGAATCCTAACTATGCTGAAATGCCTAATGCAACACATGCAAAATGCAACTATAGTAGGCTCGGCTATTCTAAGGATGGCATGCAAAATGCTACAACTAACAAGTATCCAACTTGGAATTGAAATACAATGCAGCTAGTATGATGCGCCGAGCCTGGTGCATGCAATACAGATGAATGAATGCAAACATGCGAGCATAAGTATGCTAATTGAAACATGCCCTAATCTAACCATCATAAGCTGGTAAATAAAAGGGAGAAAGACGTGGGGTTGGAAGACATACATCACACACACGCACACTTATTACAACATTGCCCTCGCTCGGAGGGTCCAAATAAATAATACAGTCCGAAAGTAATACAGTCCGAGTGAATAGCGAATTACAATTAATTATTACACAACCACTAACTAATTACCAAATTAGCTAAGTAAGCAAATAAATGAAATGAATGTAGCTGCCTCGGCTCTGTTTTCGATGATGATGGATGCATGCATGCTTGACGCGCTTTGTCGGTAAATTCCATCGCGATGCTTCGTCTCGCCTTTGTTTGCAGCTGATTTAAGAAACTTACACAAAGCTCCAGAAGGCTGAAACTCCACCTTGGAAAAGCCACCGACTAGGTATTGGCTTGGAAAACCCTTGCCGACCACCCCTTATGGTGGAAACCAAAAAAGGTGGTCGGCCTACCAGGAAACCTAGTCGGCCGACCACTTTGTACCCCTGGACTCTGGTTTTTCTGCAACAAAGGCAAGAAGGAGAGAAAGCAAGGTATTTTCAACATATGTATGCGCGACCACTCCTCCTCATCCTTGCACAAGCTCTAGGGAGTGTGGCCCTCGGTCCTCGGGCCATCAACCACGCATCTCAATGCATGATGGCCGAGGAGTCGAATTGCACAACTCAATATAGAATGAATGCATATGAAAACACAACAAGAGAGGACTGGTTGCCATGTGCTAATCTAACCATCATAAGCTGGTAAAAGGGAGAAAGACGTGGGGTTGGAAGACATTCATCACATACACGCACACTTATTACAATTGTGCCCTCGCTCGGAGGGTTCGAAAGAATAATACAGTCTGAATAAATAATTAAATATTACAAAACGCTAATTAATTAACAAATTAACTAGGAAAGGGGATAAACTAGCATGCAAGCTTATGGACCGCCTCAGCTCTGTTCCGAATGATGAAAGATGCATGCTTGAGTTGCCTGGCGCGGAAATCCATTGCGATGCCCCGATTCACCTCTGTTTGCAATTAATCCCGGAATGCTATTCAAGGCTTTGGAAGGCTATTGATTTCTGATTTGCTGCAACAGAGAGCAAGAAAGGGGCATGGCAAAGTATTTTCACATATGTAAGCATGACTACTCTTTAGGAAGTGTAGTCCTCGATCCTCGTGCCACCAATCACGCATCTCGATGCATGATGGCCGAGGAGTCGAATTGCATGACTCGATGTGAAATGAATGCACATGAAAACACAACAAGACCTAAACTCCATCATGGGTAATCCGGAGCGTCGGCGACCCGAAATTGAGACACGTTCCGTCACTCGGAGTATGAAACATCCATTACACGACTCAATGTAAAATGAATGCACATGGAAACACAACAAGGCCTAAAATCCATCATGGGTAATCCGGAGCGTCGGCGATCGAAAATTGAGACACGTT